CAGTGATCTTTGAACGAGCTTTTTAACATTCTCGATAGCGTAAAAGTTAACTCAAATTTGTGTGCAGTTCGAACAGCGCCCCTAGCGGCAAACGTAAACAAACGTTCAAACTCCATACAAATTTGAGTTAACTTTTACGCTAGCGAGAACGTTAAATAACTCGCACTGAGCCCGCTGAGAATTTTTAGTGCGATCGTAGAATCACACGTGTGACAAATTTCATTTTGGTCAATCAAAAGGTATAAGGTAGGTAGTGGCTTATTTTTATTGCTTACGTGGGTGGAAGAGCTCACAGCCCACCTGATGTTAAGTGTTCACCCACAGACCCATAGACATAATAATATACAACGTATGCCGCCCCACCCACCTTGAGAAATGAGTTGTAAAGGGTCTCACTTTTAACAGTACGAAAGCTGTCGGATACATGGCAGCGTGAATTAACCCGCCTATCTCAATGCATGAGGTCAATAATTCTCAGCGGAAATAGGCAGCGATAGGCACCTAGCCGTGTCAGCTCAAAATACACCCGTGAGCCTACCCCTAATTAACGATGCTAAATGGTTATTGGAGCCCATAGACATCAACAACATATATGCGGACACCCACCTTGAGACATAAGTTCTAAGACTCAGTTTTATACTACAACGACTGGCCAAGCTTTCAAACCGAAACGCATTACTGCTTCACGGCAGAAGAAAACGGGTGGCACCTATCAATGCAGACTCAAAAGACACTCTACCACCGACATATACGCGATGCGCTGAACCTAAACTAACAGCTTACCCACTGCTCTAGATCGTTTTAAACCCAAGTACCACAACTTACCGTGGTCTGCGACTCCTGCTTCTGCAACGAACACTTCTTCTCTTGCGACAGCACGCCTGCCTCACTCGATAGCGACGGTCGCCCGAACGGCATCGCTTGAACCTACCGCTTCGGCTGCGACAGCGCCTTTATACGGACATACAAAATAATAACTCATACATGCTGATAGTTTCAGATAGAATGAGCACTATCTATCGATTTAGTATAACTTATATGTATTTATTTTATGTATTTCATTATATATGTACGTGTATGTTATTTTTATGTTATTTATGTGTGTAATTGTGTATGTATATAGTCTGATATATTATGTATTTATGTTTTAATTATTGTTACTATTATTGTTATTGTGTACTGTATCAAGAAGTAAATTGATTAGATTGTACTTTTCTACCCACCCATGTAAAGCTCACCCTCTTTAAGAACGGTTAGATGGTAGATAACTCAATTATTGAGTTAAGCTCGCCATTTTTATAACTTTTCGCAATTATTATATTGTTTTAACTGTGTGTGTACAATAGAATCAAACTCATTAAAATACGGTAAGGTCCTTAAAGAATAGAAATTAAGATGCGCATGTTGCGATGGATGTGTGGAGTAACGAGAATGGATAGAATACGGAATGAATATGTTAGAGGAAGTCTCAGAAAGTGGCATCTGTGACAGAGAAGCTGAGAAGTGCGCGTTTGGGATGGTATGGACATGTGATGAGACGAAATGACAATGAGGTTGGTAAGAGATTGTTAACTATGAATGTGGAAGGATATAGAGGAAGAGGTAGACCGAAGAAGAAATGGATGGATTGCGAGAGGATATGGGTAAGAGGGAAGTGAGTGAAAAAATTGTATATGACAGAAGAGTATGGAAGGAGAAAACACGTTGCGCCGACCTCAGGTGACTGGGAGAAGGGCAGGATAATGATGATGTATATAAGTGTGTCAGTCTCTGGTAGCCATAACACAGAGAACCCTAAATTGGAGACGGATGACTGTACTTGATTTGTTCCTAGTTATTTATTTATTTGTGACTTTCAACTTATAGATGGAGACGCACAGACACAGTTATGTGTAGAGGCTCCAGTAACCAATATTAAAAATTCCCCTACCTATGCTGATAGCCTTGAGAGGCTATATCAGCTTCACCCTAACGTTAGGTGAGCTTACGGGGCTCAAACCGGAGTGGTGCTAACACTGGCCCTAGCAAGAGCAGTGCTTCGCAGAATCTACCACTGGATAGGAAACGCGACCCACTGAGAAGATTTGGCGAGTAACTCAGCGGGCTGTGTCTGTGGGAGTATCTGCTCTTTTAACTACATTTTATATAATACAATTAAATTAATTCCCCTTTAAATCGCATGGTTCGATACCCGACAACGGGCCATGATATAAGAGGCGTGAAGGCTGTGAGGCTTTTTCTGTATGGCAATATCCCAAATTTCATCAAATAACACTTCGTATCAATCACAAGCTTGTAATCCGAATTCCTTCGTGTGCCAATCCCAAAATAATAATAGATTTAATCATCATTGGCTTACGTTTTGCACATTCTGTGGACAAGAAAACAAAAATTGTTCAAAAATTACCAGTGATTTTAGGTGAAGCTATGCCGGAATTGTCTATCTTGTTTTATATGAGCTATGTTTTTCTTGACTTCAATTTAATTTTCCTACTAACTAGGAATATGAGTTAACTTTTACGCTGTCGAGAACGTTAAAAAATTCGCACTAAGCACACTGATCTTGAATTATAAGGCATGAAAAACAAATAAAATAATAAATATTCACTCACTTGCGTCTCCGTCGACATTTTGCCATTGTAAACTAAAACAACAAAATGAATGGCCATTATGGATAAGTTCAGTAATCATAGAGACTAGTACAGAGCTGCAAAGGACTATGTCTACAGTAGTGTAGTATAGGACTCTCGGCTAGATGTAGGTCGGATCTGTGTCTGTTTGTGTACGAGAAGAGCTCGGGATCAGTACAGAGCTGCAGAGGACTGTGTCTACAGTAGTGTAGTATAGGACTCTCGGCTAGATGTAGTTCGGATCTGTGTCTGTTTGTGTACGAGAAGAGCTCGGGATCAGTACAGAGCTGCAGAGGACTGTGTCTACAGTAGTGTAGTATAGGACTCTCGGCTAGATGTAGGTCGGATCTGTGTCTGTTTGTGTACGAAAAGAGCTCGGGATCAGTACAGACCTGCAGAGGACTGTGTCTACAGTAGTGTAGTATAGGACTAGAGGCCAAAATTTTGATCAGATCTGTGTTTGTTTGTGTACGAAAGTTGGTTGGTGAAACAAAGTCTACAAAATCCCGCACCACACGAATGAATCATCACTTCATTACCTCTGTAAATTTGTTACAAAATAAAACAACTTCTCAAATAAACATCATAGCAAAATAAATTTGTAAATATTTTGTTTTGAAAATAACACTGAATTAAAATTTCTTAAACATTAAAAAGACATTTAACTGACAATTTCTGAATTTGAAATGACGTGGACTGTTTTTTTTTTTTATAATATTTCATTCGTAACATGAAAGTTTTCATGGTATTAAGCAAATAATCCACAGGAAGCACGAAGCTACGCTACGATCTCTGTTTGTCTGTCACAAGCTTTATTAAGCACTAGCTGACCCGGCAGACTTCGTTGTGCCTCAATCGATAAATAAAATACCTAAGCATTTGTGTAAAATAAACATAAAACAAACAAAAGAAATCCGTCCGACGGGGGACACATCAAAGGAAAAACAAAATTGTTATTTTTATTTAATTCCGAGCATTTTCAAATTTATCTTTTACCTTTTAAACCTTCTCTGGACTTCCACGAATAATTCAAGACCAAAATTAGCCAAATCGGTCTAGCCGTTCTCGAGTTTTAGCGAGACTAATGAACAGAAATTCATTTTTATATACTTAGTCTGGCCATAAAGATTAATGTAATTGGTAAAAATTCAAGCTAAGCTTAATCTTCTACTGTGTTATGGATACCGAAAACAAAAATGGGAGCAAAAAACATTCGGACCCCGAATAGTATCTTGTCTGTGGCCTAAAGGATAAGACGTCCGGTACATTCGTATGTAGCGATGCACCGGTGTTCGAATCCCGCAGGCGGGTACCAATTTTTCTAATAAAATACGTACACTTAGCAAATGTTCACGATTGACTTCCACGGTGAAGGAATAATATCGTGTAATAATAAACAAATCCGCAAAATTATAATTTGCGTAATTACTGGTGGTAAGACGTCTTGTGAGTCCGCACGGGTAGTTACCACCATCCTGCCTGTTTCTACCGTGAAGAAGTAATACGTTTCGATTTGAAAGATTTGGGTAGCTGTTGTAACTATACCTTAGAACTTATACCTATCTCAAGGTGGGTGAATACACGTGAAGCAAAAACTTTGTGTTTTCGAAAATTGCGCGGACGGAGGAGTATGAAATTTTTCACACTTATAGAGAATATAGAGGAGTGCAGAATGTAATTTTTTTTGCATATATAAAAATAAATCAAAAAAATAAAAAAATTCTCGGACTACTATATATTTGACACAACACACATATATATATAATATACTCTTTGTTTAATGTCATACTTTTTTTTTTATGATTGAAGAATTACTGGTGGCCCGGAGGCCTTTCCAGTTTCACCAGGACAGGTGGGCGAGCAAAGGCTCAGCCAGGAGGGGTGGGATTTGCTAACAGCTACCCGAGCGCCTCCGAAGGAGACCTAACAGCTCAAGAGCAGCTGCTTCGCGAATGAATCTACTACCGGATCGGAATCGCGACCCGCTGAGAAGATCCGGCGAGAAACTCAGCGGGCTGATGCATGGGTTAGGTTGCACGTCGACCTCTTTGTCGAGTTCGACGAGTACGGTTACCGGGGTCCCTAAGCCTGCTCCTAGTGTTAGAGCTGAAGGCGTCTAATGCAAAGGTTATTGGATCTGATGGATCCGTAAGGACGTGATATACTTTTGTTTTGCTTAAAGCCTGTGGTCAAATCGAGAATATTGTTAGTCTTTAATATTATTTGTCTATAGTGTAGTCTTGGCAAAATCTTTCATCATAGATAAGTCTTTGACAATAGAACCTTAATAATGTTCAAACTTATAACTTCAATTAATTATAATCGAATTTCGACTACTGGGGCGACCACTAGTAAAAATAAAAACACAAAAACATCCAACATGGTTTTATTGCTTAAAATTAATTTTGTATCCTTTCGTCTCCGGGTCCTGTTCCATATTAAAGTTCTGCGTGGACAGACCGAACGGCTTCAGTATCATGTTCCCCAGATCCTTCAGTTTCCCCAGCATCTCTTTCTTCATCTCCTCATTCTTGGCTTCCACGATCGGCTTCAGGCGGACCACGGCTTTCCTGGTCTCCTCCAAAGACGGGTCCAATTCTAGAGCCTTCTCATAATCGCTCAAGGCGTCTTGATACTTTTCCAATAGCTCGTTGGACGAGGCACGCCTGTGGGTAAAAAAATATTGATTTTATTAAATCTTCCACCCTTCAAACCGAAACGCATTACTGCTTCACGGTAGAAATAGGCAGGGTGGTGGTACCTACCCGTGCAGACTCAAAATCATGTTCAAAGATTCCGTTACATACTCCAGTAACCACTTAACACCAGGTGGGCTGTGAGCTCACCTATCTAAGCAATAAATAAAAAATAAAAAAAATATATGTATATTTGACATATTATTATTATGTTAAATACAGCAAGCTAAATCTAGTCAGATTCTGAATTTCTGAATGGTTTCTTGTTTTAATAGAGTTTTTATCCAAAAAAAAACCTATAAAATATTAGTTAAGGACGAAATAAATGTTCTTATTTTGTTACTCGAAAATGAGTGAAAATCATAAAGAAACACGGAGACTGTATTACAAATTTATGTTTTTCTATGTAGATCATAAATTAAACAACATCTTGAGAAAGTAAAAATTGCGAAAAATATAATAAACTAAATTGTTTTTAGCGGTACCGAGTATTTTTTGTTACCCTTTGATACCACTTTCTAATCAAAATCTTTAGTTTTCCTATAAGATAGAAAAAGAAGGATGCTTTATTTCCTAATTATAATAATAATAGTTATCATGAAGTTGTTTTAAATGTTTTTTTTTTATTGCCTTTGTAGGCAGACGAGCGTACGGCCCACCTGATGGTAAGTGGTTACCGTCGCCCATGGACTTCAGCAATGCCAGGAGCAGAGCCAAGCCGCTGCCTACTGCTTAATACTCTCCACAAGCCTCGTTTGAAGAAGGATATGTCATAGCGCTCGGGAGATACCGTGGAGGGGAGCTCATTCCATAGCCGGATGGTACGTGGCAAAAAAAACCTCTGGAAACGCACTGTGGATGACCGCAGTGGCTCCAGGTAGTATGGATGAACTCTACTCCGGTGGCGGGCGATGCGATGGTAAAAACGATTATAGTGTTTCAATCAAGAAGTTTGGGGTACCGAAATTGGAAATAGGCTTAGCATAAATAATATAACTTGGGTACTCCAGACTACATTCTATGATTATTGCAGCGAATCACAATTATGCAAGAAGAAAGTGTAACTTTTCCTCCCTGGGTACTGACAAGTGCGCATGCGCGTTAGTGTCTACGTCTGCTCGCACGCACCTAAAATTCTCCGCCATTGTTGTGCTCGGGTAATTTGCAATATTGTGTTTAGTGTAAAAGTGAAATAAACAAAAGGCAACAAAATTTAATAGTGAAGTATTAAACAAAGATGAGTTCATCAGACAGTTCTTATTCAATTAGTAGTAGTTTATTTAAAAAAAAAAAAACAGTTAAATTTTTTTTTTAATGAGTAGCTCCTGGTAGGAGAAAAAATAGTATGTGCACCGCAGGAAAAAAGTAGGACATCTCATCCCGCGTGTTTGGTAATTTTACATGCGCGAAGAAATGTCCTACTTTTCCCCCGGATGATGCACAATGTACTATTCATTCTAACTCGAATACTTTTTTTGATCAATCTCACCTTAAGTACGCTTTGACGTATTTGTCATCGAGTTCCAGTGCTTTAGTGCAGTCCTTGATTGACTTTTGATACTTTTTCAATTTCATCCTAGCCGCACTCCTGTTGCAATATAGAATCGCTCGTACTTTGTCGAATTGAAGAGGACATAATCTCAAACCTGAAATAGTGAAATTGTATTTCAAAGATGCCGTTGTCTAAAGGATAAGACGCCCGGTGCATACGAATCTCGATACGACTGTATCAGCGTCCGAATCCCCCAGGCAGGCAATTTTTTGAAGTTATACTTCTTTAGGCGCGTTATGAAAAATTGATGAGGGTGAAATTTTACGATGCGCGCGCACCGTGACACAAAATTAACAGAATGAAGTTGCCCACTAAATCGCTCATTACAATACGAATCGTACGTAACTTGGCGAGTCTGAATATAGCCGCAGGTGAATTTTCGCGCATGTACACTCGTAAAAAATGCTACCAACAAAACAGAAATGGAACCTCTGTTAGTGGCGCATGTTGGCACGCACGCCGCCTCTGTTCACTGTGTATTTATATTTATAATATTTATCCACATGCTTTGTGGACGTGTTTTCATTTTGTTTTCATTATACAAGTGCGAATTTTATATGTGCATCTGAATTATAATCAGAAGTGATTTAAATTGAATATTTAAGTCAATACTAATTAATATTAGAAAATATTTGTGAAAAAACTGTGCTCATCAACCTTCCTAAGTGCTCCAATACAATTGAGGTTAACTATCCGTATGTATTATTTAGTAATATAAATGACAAAATTATTATTTAATATAATTCATACTAAATATTATTAAATTATTAACATTAAATATTAATTAATAAATATTTAATATTTAAAAAAAAAATTATAATAAAAGTAAAGTATAACTTTTTAGGCGCGTACATAAGTACGCGCACCCTTTTTTTTTTAAATACCTACTTTAAAAATATTGACGAATGACTTCCAAGGTGAAGGAATAACGTTGTGTAATAAAAATCGAATGCACACAAAAAATTTAATTAGCATAATTACTGGTAGGTAGGACGTCTTGTGGGTCCGCACGGGTAGGTACAACCACCCTGCCCATTTTTGCTGTGAGACAGTAATGCGTTTTGGTTTGAAAGGGTGGGGCAAAAATTGTGCTAAAGTTATTTGGACTAGCTTCTCTGAATAATAATATGTAGATAAGCTCACAAGACTCAGCCTGAGAGAAGAGACAATAAAGAATATTTTTAATTTAATAAAAAACAATAATACGAAGAACTTTATTTTTACTAAAATCTTGACTACTACTATGACTCTATCTCTTTTTAACTAATAAGACTAACCTTCGGTGTATTTCTCTACACTTCTCTCATACTCTCCACATTTGTAAGAATTGTTTCCGGCCTGTTTCAATTCCTCGGCCATGATCAGCCTTTCCGCTTTCTGGTCATCCGTTAGTGCTACCTCATCATCTTTTAAATGTTCTTCATCTATAGAATCTGTATCGCTTTCTTTGTCTTCTTCGTTGTCTGATGCGTTATGGTCAGCGTCGAATTCTGCTTCTTTGGGTAGTTCTGCAATAAAATATAAAAAAAACAGGTTTTTATGTTATCATGACAACAATGAGCCAACTGACATTTTTTTTAACAGTTCCCTTTAAGATTTTATTTTTATCACAATTTTTGCACTTCATTTGAATGTTCATAAGAAAGTCTATGTATTTGGACTCTTAGCTCAGAAAAATCTAAGTAATGATTTAGATTTTAACTTTCTTCAGATGTGTGAACAAGGAATTAGTATAATATGAAGTGTTTGGATGTTGCTTTAGAATTCTAGAAATCATATCTTTGAAAGCTTTTTAACCAAAACATCCGGGACAATTGAGTTTGTTGTTTCATGGTCACTTTCATCATCATTAGCTTCCAGAAGTCCAATGCTGGACATGGGCTTGTCCAAGGTTCACATAATGTCCGGTCCTGCACTTCACACATAATTAGAACAGATTGTTGTGACCTACAGGCCCACATTTCAGGAGGCTTCCACAAGTCATAGTTAAATTTAGTATTTTTAAGAATTTCATACCATTTAATCTACATTAAGGACACTAAGATCATATCTTCTATCTTTATCTAACTCTGATCCTCTTAATATTAGCAATCTTCATTTTATCAATAGGCACTGAAGTCATTATATCGATTTCTGTTACTAAGGTGCCTGGATTGCTTAGCTTTGCCTTCTTTTGTTTTAATGTTCATGTTTTAGTCTCTTAGAAATATGTTCATTCTCAGTATCTTCGGATTCATCTTTCTCAGAGTCTATCAAATATTCCAGCGTCTTAGTAAGAAGATAGAAGAGAGAAATTGACATAATTACTTCGGTACCCCATTTAAGTCACCGGTGACCTAAATCGCAGTCGACATGTTAATCTAAACCAGGGGTGGCGATCTACCAATGACCTTTTTTTAAATTTAATGAAACAATGTAGTTCAGTATACAAATAAGTAGTATATTTTATTTTATTAAAAAAAAAGAAAAGAATCTGAAAAGATGATGAATCTGAAATCTATACATGTAAATAAAATTGGAGTGTCTGTTTGTAATATTGAAATAACCGCTTTTTACTACATGCATATGAATATATATACGGTACATACACCAAAATATTTTTTTTTACAATTTTTGTCCACAGAACAAACAGACAGACAGGCAGACACCTGTCTGTCTGTTTGTTCTGGCTAATCTCTGGAACGGCTGGACCGATTTTGACGAGACTCACTGATAGGTAGCTGATGATATAAGGAGTAACTTAGGCTACTTTTTTTTAGACTAGCTTCGCCTCGCGGCGTCGCTCGCGGTACGACAATAACGGCGGGGAACATCGCGAGACTCAGCTATTAATAATAAAATTTAATGTTTCCGAAGCGAAGCGAGGGCGGGTCGCTAGTTATATAATAAAAGAGAACTATTGTGTAAAAGAGAGCATAAATAATGTGACATAATGGTCATTAACAAGTGATACAAGATGAAGACGATGCGTTCAGTAATTGGTGATTACGATGCGCAGTCTGTTTTATGTATTTATTATATATTTTTGTCCTGCCACGATCTACCGGTCGATTATGATCTACTGGTTGGCCACCCCTGATCTATACTTATATTATAAATGTTTGTATTGTTTGTAAAAAGTTTGTATTTATTTGATTTAGTTTTATAATCGTACAAAATGTTCGAAAGCGTTAACTATTATTTTGAGGCATGTCATGCTACAAATAATTATGTATTAAACTTGCCTATTGACAAAATGAAGATTGCTAATATTAAGAGGATCAGAGTTAGATAAAGATTAGAAGGCCAGACAGTGTCCTGTTGAAATCCTGATCATTTTATAAAATCAGCCCAGCCATTCTGAATTATATAACATATATACACACATATGCAGTTTCATTAATAATAAAACAAAGTACTATTAATAATAAAAAAAATACACCTCATTTTCACTGTCGAACTTACAATGTCACGTCTGTTAATGTATTATGTATATGTGCCTATTAGAATAGAATTATTTTGAAAAATTCTAATCAAGTGTTCTTTTTTTTTTTATTGCCCTTGTAGGCAGACGAGCATACGGCCCACCTGATGGTGAGTGGTTACCGTCGCCCATAGACTTCAGCAATGCCAGGGGCAGAGCCAAGCCGCTGCCTACCGCTTAATACTCTCCACAAGCCTCGTTTGAAGAAGGACATGTCATAGCGCTCGGGAAACACCGTGGAGGGGAGCTCATTCCATAGCCGGATGGTACGTGGCAAAAAAGATCTCTGGAAACGCACTGTGGATGACCGCAGTGGCTCCTGGTAGTATGGATGAACTCTACTCCGGTGGCGGGCGGTGCGATGGTAAAAACGAGATGCCAGTATCATCTCGAACAATTCCTCAGAGCACTCCCCATGGAACATACGGTACAGAATACAGAGGTAACCGAAATCCCTCCGCAGACCCAGAGGCTCCAAAGATCTGTGAGAATGGGATTATCGACAATCCGAACGGCCCTCCTCTGTATGGAGTCAAATGGAAGAAGCTGGTATTTGGGAGCCCCGGCCCAGAGATGGGAGCAGTACTCCACGCGAGGCCAGACTTGTGCTTTATACAGCAAAAGTCTTTGTCCAGGCGTGAAGTACCGCTTTGCTCTGTTGAGGACTCCCAGCATTTTGGACGCCAACTTGGCTTTGCCTTCCAAATGACTGAAACTGGACATCGCTCGAAATGTCGACCCCAAGTATCCCGATACTCTCGGAAGGTTGCAGGGATACTCCTTGGAATTGCGGCGCCATGACAAAGGGGGTTCTAAGCCATAACCTCCCCATTAATCTGAATAAAAGAAATTTTTGACAAGACTACACCCTACTCTCTGATCCTAATAAGCAGTACTCTTCCCAGTCCGCTTAATCTTATGATGACGATAAGTTTATTAAGTGTTCAGAAGTGAACAGTGGGCAGAATTTAACGATTGTAGCCTTCAATGTTTTTCTATTAATTAGTTTTCATGGTCGGCTGTATGTAGTTTAATCAATACAACACACATCAAGCTCAGAGCGACTATGATATAATTTTTTTATGAGACAGGCATAGATTTTTGACGTGACAACACCCGAACGATATTACGTACCGTACGTAATAATAATATTGTAATTACCTGTATGATTTTTCGTTGTTTCTGTAGAAAAGCATTGTTCCTCACTAGTACCGGGCTGAATGACATATCCTTCGGTATTTTCGTTAGTATTGAGCGATGTTTCCAAATCCCTTGTGATGTCATTAATTACAGCCTCATTAGAAGTTTTGCACGTATTTTTAAGCCTATCAGACATGGTTATTATAATTAAAACGTACGCTAAAATATCCTGTGACGAGTTCTTTAGCTGTTTAAATGTTAATCACCATGTATTCGCACAAAACAAATTCATGTAATGTTAAAGAATCTCTCGAAAATCGCTTTCGATTTGTATGAAATTTCAATGTCAAAATGTCAATTAATTTCAAATTTGACATTCGACATTTTTGTGTTTGAAAGGTTTTTTTCGTCATCAGATAAGCGTAGGGAATACAGCCCATACACTATAGAAAAATAAAAGACATGTCTAATGCATTAAAAAGTAAAAGGAAACAAGTGAATTGAAACTGACTTAGATATGATGAGATAACCCCGCCGGTGTTGGGTTAATTCAGATAAAACAATCTTCTGGCTAAGTGGTAGGCTTTGATTTGCTCAATTCATTTTATTTGATTTTCGTACAATTGTGCACTTTCAGAAACACTAAGTTGTTAGTAAGCCATTAATATTACGCATTTAAAACTAAAGAATCGAATATAACAAACAAAAGAATACACTCAATTGAAAAAGAATAGCCTGGATTCTAGTATAAACTAGAACGAATGATATAAAACTGGTTGTGGAACTCGAAGGGATAGGATGAAATGATACTGGACCAATTAATAAAATGAAGTTGTAAAATAACGATTTGCAGTGTTGAGTTGTTGGAGTTTGAATATAAATGTAATGGCAGGCAACACTTGACACATGATTACAGATTTCGAATATTAGAATTATTTTAAATGTTTAAAAAACAGATGATTGTATTCTCGTAAGAAAGTCACAGAACTTCTCATCTAGACACGGTCAAAGAAACATGTCAGAGTTTTATAAAAAATATAAAGATAATAATTTTATAATGGTGTAACAGTGTTCAAACTATCTGAAATATAATTATAATGAAGCAGTATGTTTTTAAATAAGCCCCTCATCAATCAACAGATCACAGTCCCCTCAAATTTAACCGTCCAACATGAGTTTTAACAACTTTAACTTTCGAAGTCAATCGTGAACATTTGTGAAGTACGTATTTCATTAGAAAAATTGGTACCTGCCTGCGGGATTCGAACACCGATGCATCGCTTGATATGAATACACCGGACGTCTTATCTTAACTTAGGCCACCACGACTTCAAATTCAAATATATTACCTACTTATTTTTATATTATATTACTTATTATTTATGTTATTAATCTTTTGAGCTTATTATATCTTAAACAACATGAAAACATTTAGCGAAAATGATCATTTTAACGTTGTAATCAATTTTAATTAATTTTGTCTCGGCTTATTTAGATAGTGCACGATCTCTTCTATGAAGACTGCAGTATTCTTTTAATTAATTTACTTATTTTCCCATTCATTTCAATTTTTTTCCTACTGATGCTTATAGCCTTGAGAGGCTATTTCAGGTTTTCCTTGACGTGCTCACCTAGAACTCACAGTGCTCAAACCGGAGTGTTGCTAACACTGGCCCTAGCGAGAGCAGTGCTTCACAGAATCGACAACCGGATTGGAAACGCGATGCACTGAGAAGATCCGGGGAGAAACTCAGCGGGCTGTGTCTGTGGGTTCATTTACTCGTAGAGGCTTTTCGTCGCAAGCGATGGGTTCGGCGAAGATTTTCATATAAATCACGTATTAAAAAACCACTATCAATAAATCCTTAAATAGTTTCAAACGATTTAATCTATCACTATCACTATCACTTCTATACTTCTATACTAATATTATAAAGGGGAAAGATTTGTTTGTTTGTTTGTATTGAATAGGCTCTGAAACTACTAAACCGATTTGAAAAATTCTTTCAGTGTTTGGAAACTACACTATTCCCGAGTGACATAGATTATAATCTTTTTTGAAAAAAATTAGGGATCCTTACTAAAACTCCAATAATGTAACCCAAGGTGTAAAAAAATTACATAAGATATTCTTTACATCACGTGCCCTTGCGAAAACTAATGATGATAGAATAAAGTAATGTACTACGACTTTGTAGAACACACTTTTATTTACAAAAAGTGTCGGGACAGCGTATGTCTAAATATTATAGTTATGCCACAAATAAGTGTTCTTTTATTTCAAAAAATAAAACAACGTCCAATATCGTTGAAATTTTTGTTAAAGATCCGAGCGGAGCCGGAGCGAGCAGGCAAAACATAAGTATTGTGCTGCCTGAAAAAAAGTATACATTTGTGAGAAGTTGCTATCTACAATTTATCGAGCAATATTACAAGCAAGCATTGAACAAAACAAAATAACTAATTAATTGTCGATGTGAAGATTGAAGATTAAATGGAAAAAATTACCTTAGAAGCTTAGTTTTTACATGAAAAAAAAAAACTATGTGCTTATGAATTTTTGGAATCACGCTACCTGTCAATTTTGCATTAATATTTTCAATTAAAAACAAATTACGCAGCAGTAGTTTGCCTTGTCGACAAAGTTCCATAAATTGTTTGTCATTGTAATGCATTATAATAAAATGTATGATTGTGATTCGTTTACTATTTTACTATTTTATTAATGATTTACTAATTATTAATTATTATTAACTATTTTATTTGTTATTATTTTTATTTGTTGGAGTTTGTATATTAAATGTAATGGCAGGCAACACTTGACACTTGATTAGATTTCGAATATTAGAATTATTTTAAATGTTTAAAAAACAGATCATTGTATTCTCGCAAGAAAATGTCAGTACTTCTCATCTAGACACGGCAAGACAAACATGTAATAGTTTTATAAAAAATATAAAGATAATAATTGTATAATGGTGTAAAAGTGTTCAAGCTATCTGCAATATAATTATAATGAAGCAGTTGTGTTTTTAAATAGCCCCTCATCACCTACAGAACCCAATCCCCTCAAATTTAACCGTCCAACATTATTTAATATCTATTTCGATCTTTTAAGCAAGAATTTTATTATTAACAATCAAATATTTTGCGTGAACTGAAACGTGATATGACGACTTTGACGTGTCAAGAAGTAAATTTCTCTTTATTTCAGTGTTAATCTATGTATTTGACTGTGTTCGAAGTAGACATGCGCAAAACATCACTTCCCAATGTAATGTGATATGACATCACTTTTACAGACAGGTGATATTACTCGAAAACATTACACATCACTCATAACATTACTCGGTGCGTTCAATAGATACTGTGACGACGAATACATTGTATCTATACACCCGAATCATTACTTAAGTGATGTGTTGATACACATCACTTAGGTAATGATTCGNGCGCCTCATTCCCACGTAGTGCCATCTAGTAAATAATCCTTAACTTTATAATATGCCTTGTTGCACAAACGTTCCTTAACAGTTTTCTTAAATCTATGAACAGGTAGTAATTGAACGTTTAGTGGGATCTTGTTGAAAAGCTGTACACCCAGCCCCCTAAAAGAGTTGCTTATTTTCTTAATTCGAGCCGCCGGCAACGCAAGCCTATGTTTGTTCCTAGTGTTAACATTGTGCAAATCGCAGACTCTGGGGAATTCTTCAATGTTTTTACGCACGTACAATAAATTTTCAAAAATGTATTGGGACGCTAAAGTTAGAATTTTGATTTCCTTAAACTTGTCCCTCAAGGATTCCCTCGGGTGCATATTATAAATAGCACGAATAGCCTATACTTATAACCTTGAGAGGCTATTTCAGGTTTTCCTTGACGTGTAGGTGAGCTCACGATGCTCAAACGGGAGTGTTGCTAACACTGGCCCTAGAGAGTGCAGTGCTTCACAGAATCTAACACTGGAACGGAAACGCGATGCACTGAGAAGATCCGGCGAGAAACTCAGCGGGCTGTGTCTGTGGGTTCATTTACTCGTAGAGGCCCTTTGTCGCAAGCGACGGGTTCGGCGAAGATTTTCATATAAATCACGTATAAAAAAATCACTATCAATAAAGCCTTAAATAGTTTCAAACGATTTCATAATTTATAATTTTAAGTAGGCAAAACATAAGTATTGTGCTACCTGGAAAAGAGTATATATTTGTGAGAAGAAGTATCTACAATTTATCGAAAGTGGAATTACAAGCAAACATTGAACAATACAAAAGTAACTACTTAATTGTCGATGTGAAGATTGAAGATTAAATGGAGAAAATTACCTTAGAAGCTTAGTTTTTACGTGAAAAAAAAAACTATGTGCTTATGAATTTTTGGAATCACATTAACGCTACCTGTCAATTTTGCATTAATATTTTCAATTAAAACCAAATTACGCAGTAGTAGTTTGCCTTGTCGACAAAGTTCCATAAATTGTTTGTCATTGTAATGCATAAAATATATGATTGTGATTCGTTTACTATTATTAACTATTTTATTTGTTATTATTTTTATTTAATAGCTATTTCGATTTATTAAGCACGAATTTTATTATTGACAATCAAATATGTTTTGCGTGAACTGAAACGTGATATGACGACTTTGACGTGTCAAGAAGTCAATTTCTCTATATTTCAGTGTTAATCTATGTATTTGACTGTGTTCGAAGCACGATAACCTAAAATTATACAAGGTCAAGATCAATTATTTAGTGAAAATTATCATATTTTTTCACGTCCGTCCATCGCAGGCCGTGAATTATTAATAAGGATACCGTTAGATAGAAATTGTCTCGGTTGTATTAAAAAATAAGACGTGAAAATGTTCAGAACTGTTAAGAATTTGTCTTGCTCCAAATTTCGTTATTTATTAAGATTTAATGATTTAGGAAGTAATTGTATCAATTCGAAACGTATAGTTCCGTTTTCAACGAGCACTCTAGCGTTAAAGGACGAAAAGTAAGTAGTTTTGTGAAAGATTTCCGTATTAACATTTACTTCATATCTATTCAGGGAATATCAATAAAATTATTAGCTCATAATTAATTCTCATAGTTTTTATTATACGTATTATGTACACACTTACTTTAACCATGTACTTTGCATAAGTACATTATATAATGATGATTTTAAAATATAAAATAGTAAATATTTATAACCACTATTCTATAATCTGATTTATGAATATATTGCTTCCGATAATTCGAATACTTTTTATGTAGTTTTCATAAGCTCTGACAACTAATATAATTTTTTATTTATTGCTTAGATGGGTGGACAAGCTCACAGCCCTGGTGTTAAGTGGCTATTGGAGCCCATAGACATCTACAACGTAAATGCGCCACCCACCTCGAGTTAAGTTCTGAGGTCTCAAACCGAAACGCCATACTGCTTCGCGGCTGAAATAGGCAGAGTGGTGGTACCTACCTGTGCGGACTCATAAGAGGTCCTGCCACTAGTAAATTTTTAATGTTTTTATTTATTTATTGTCTTCATTCTATCTGTAATCAGTACTTACTAATACGCAGGTGAGGAGAAAAGATGAATAATATAAATGGATAGATAGTAAATATGATATGATATAATATAATGACAAAAAAAATGTGAGACTAAACTGTAAAAGTGGTCTTAATTATGTCTAAAACTTGGAAAAATACTGGAATACTATATCATATCTAAAACTGAACAGAAAAGAAAAACTATATTTAATGTAATAAAATCTAAATTTTGCCTAAAACGTCAAGAGATTTGTAGTAGAAGTAAACGACGTTTGAAAGGCAAACGTGACTAAGCGACAATGCGTGAACTTTACAGTAGACTAATTTAAAGTTGAAATTAATTTAAAATGTACCTGAGAAATACCTGAAAAAAATTATATTTTAACGAATCTAGCTGTAGAATTGAAATGATTTTAATAGACCTAGAAATATATTTTTTACGCGTCGAATATGGTTATTGCCTATCATTTATGTACAAAGCAGTTATTGTCGCTTAGTCACATTTGCCTTTCAAGCGTCGTAAAGCTAACATCACGATAAATCAGCACAATGAAAAAGCATTTTATTACATCAGGCATTAGCACATTATTTAAAAAGATAAAACATCTGAAATATAAAAGAAAATTTATTCACTTCCCTTTAAAACCCACAGACTTTGGAAATTATCATAATTTTTATTTTAGTTCTTTTTTGTCAGACCTCAAATTTATACACATAAGTAATTTTTTTTTAAAGAACATTGTTTTCATTCGGAAAGTCAAAAGTGATTTGTTAGGCATCCTCATGTCTAAAAAAATTGGCTTCACCCCCACCATGAGACTCTTCTTATCAGGTATTTAATTAACGATAAGTAAAATAAACATCAGATATGAGAAACACATAACTCACATTATATGAAGGTGTTGTGGCGTAAAAGATAAGACGTCCGGTGCATTCATATCTAGCGATGCACGGGTATTCAGATCCCGCAGGCGGGTACCAATTTTTCTACTTAAATACGTACTCAACAAATGTTCACGATTGACTTCCACGGTGAAGGAATAACATCGTGTAATAAAAATCAAACCTGCAAAGTTATAATTTGCGTAATTACTGGTGGTAGGACCTCTTGTGAGTCCGCGCGGGTAGGTACCACCACCCTGCCTATTTCTGCCGTGAAACAGTAATGTGTTTCAGTTTGAAGGGCAGGGCAGCCGTTGTAACTACACTTGAGACCTTAGAACTTATATCTCAAGGTGGTTGGCGCGTTTACGTCGTCTATGGGCTCCAGTAACCACTTATCACCAGGTGGGCTGTGAGCTCGTCCACCCATCTAAGCAATAAAAAAAATGAATTATTATACATAGTTGTTTTTTGTCAGGTTATTTGAAAGAGTTAGCTGGATTTCTCTCATGTATATATATCAAGGGGTGAATGGCTATTTGGTCTAAGTGACATTTTTGCACGTTTACAGAAAAGCCATTTAAACTTTAATGTTTATAATTTGGTAAAAATATCATAAACAAAAAAAAAACTTTCTTCTGCTATTTCAATGGAGTAAACTCAATTGAAGTTCAATTAAAAACATTGAACTGTTGATGTTAATACTAAATATAATGCACCTTTAATTACAAAGGTCTTTGAACCTAGTACAGACTTCAGCTCTTTCAAAGGCTTACAAAATAAATTATAAGGTTAATTTCTATTTGTATTTGTATTATACCTTTAAGAGAGAAATAAATAAATTATTATTATTATTAAAGATAAATGTTGTGTATAAAGCAAAATGTCACTTAAATCAAACAGTCTTCACTCCTCAATATTACAATATCTATGAGTCCCAGTATCCGATCCACAGTTAGACATTAAGATGTTCTCTCTAACTTAGTCTTGTCTGATAAAGTTAATGAAATGTCTCGTACAGGGTTAAAGTATGCTTCGTGCTAAACGATGGGAAGAGGTTGGAAGCAGAGGCAAAGATCGGTGACACACTTCTGGACGTGGTCGTGAACAACGATCTAAATATTGAGGGCTACGGGGCCTGTGAGGGTACCCTGACCTGTTCCACTTGCCATGTGATACTGAAGCAGGAGGATTATGATAGGTAAGTTATATACGATATCAAGAGAATGTTTTCGAAGTCAACATTTTTTTTTGGAGTTTACTCCTTAAGAATCGATTTACATATATAGGCCCGGGGTATGAAAATTATGGGGACCAAAATCGTACTAGAGAGTATAGCATGTCACATGAAATGCGCGCCAATCAGGAGCCAACGCGCGGCCGCGTTATCGCAGGTGACGCCGGGCTGCTGCGCCGGCAGTCCGCCACAAAGCCTCGTACTGATCGCGCGTTTCTCTCATTATTGTATTTTCATATATTTGTTAGTCGTTTGTTTTGTGTCTCGTTAATTTGTTAATAATCTGTAGTGTATCGTGTTGTCGTAATATAGAACNATCAAGAGAATGTTTTCGAAATAAAAAAAAAATTTTTTTTTATTGCTTGGACGGGTGGACGAGCTCACAGCCCACCTGGTGTTAAGTGGTTACTGGAGCCCATGGACATCTACAACGTAAATTGAGATATAAGTTCGAAGGTCTCGGTATAGTTACAACGGCTACCTCACCCTTCAAATCGAAACGCATTAAGTACTGCTTCACGGCAGAAATAGGCGGGGTGGTGGTACCTACCCGTGCGGACTCACAAGAGGTCCTACCACCAGAATATAGCAACCTAACAATTTGTTGGCATAATACAGTATAGTTTGTTTGTATTAGATAAGACGTCTGGTGCATTCGTATTGAGCTATAAAGACTATATCAGTGTTCAAATTGTACCAGCGGGTATCAACTTTTTGTAATAAAATATGACTTAACAAAAAATGCTAACGATCGACTTCCGCAGTGCAGGAATAACCACGTGTAATAAAAATCAAATCCGCAAAAAAAATCTAATTTGCCCCCTCCCCCTGCGCGCTGCCATTTTGCGTTCAATTCTCAATTAACTTTTGTAAGGCTCCCCACAAACTGCAGACTTTCTATCGGCCGATAGTTTGGTCGGGTTGGGCTGTTAAGCCTTGTTCGAACTAGGCGAGTATTTTAGCCACTAATGAACTCGACTAATCAACAGGTTCGGACTTGTTTAGTCAGTGAGCCAGTGAGCAAGGACGCGTGGTGGAAGACGCTACTCGCCCGATAACAAAATGGATTGACTTGACTAAATTATTTACTAACCTACTCGACAAAATTTTTGGTGTTCAGACACATTTAGCTACTAAATTACTCGGTACTCGACTAAAATACTCGCCTAGTCCGAACAAGACTTTAGTGCCCACACTGGACCAACAAAACAGTTGGGTTGGACGTGAGTGCGCAGATTAATCTAACAATCGGCTGACTATTCTTGAACGATTATACTAGTTTGTGACCGAGTGTTGAAGAGAACGTTTGCACAATGAAACTGGAATACAGTATAATCGGGAAATGTTATTAATACTCTCATACAACGGAGGAGGAAAGCCAAAAAGAGATTCCGAGAGTATTGGATGCAACCCATCCTCAGTAATAGATTAGTTAGTGGAAAATTTTACACAATGCATTCCAAATTACTTGATCACCCGAAACTTTTTTTTTGCCTTTTAACTAGCTTTAATGAACTTGTCAAGATAATTGGACCAGCAAAAGCGAAAGACGATGCAAACTTAAGACTCTTCGCTAAAGCTCGGAGCGAACTTAAGATAGTTAAGGCCGAGTCGGCCGACTAAACAATCGGCGTGTGTGCGGATGGGGAAGGGCGCCGTACTGTGTGCTTAGTGCGAGTTTTTTAACGTTCTCGATAGCGTAAAAGTTAACCCAATGTTGTATGCAGTTGGAACAGCGCCCATAGCGGCAAACGTAGGCAAACGATCCCATTCCATACAATTTTTTTTTTTTTTCGGGCCGAGGGCCGAACCTCCTACGAGGTCCCCGCGCCTAGGGGGCGCACGGGGTGTGTGGGACTAGACGATCTGCAAGGTGTTGGGAGCAGACCGCGGGCCAAAGGAATTTTAAGGCCCACCCACTAAACGACTCCCCTGCACTCTTACACCCGACGTCCGATCTCCGTCCGGTTTCTTTTATGCTTAGTGCGAACATTTTAACGTTCTCGATAGCGTAAATCCAATTTTACCCAAAGTAAACCCAAAGTTAGCCCAGTTTTGTATGCAGTTGGAACAGCGCCCCTAGCGGCAAACGTAGGCTAACGATCCCATTCCATACAAATATGAGTTAACTTTTACGCTATCGAGAACGTTAAAAAACTCGCACTAAGCACACTGATCGAGCCGGCCGACAGTTGGCCGACAGTTGGCCGACAGTTTAGTTTGAAGGCAATCGGGAATCCCATCATACTGATCGTTACCATTTGCGCACTTGCATACATCTCCATACTGATTAAGACGCCGACCAAACTATCGGCTGATAGAAAGGTTACTGGTGGTAGGACCTCTTGTGAGTCCGCGCGGGTGGGTACCATCACCCTGCCTATTTCTACCGTGAAGCAGTAATGCGTTTCGGTTTGAAGGGTGGGGTAGCCGTTGTAACTATACTGAGACCTTAGAACTTATATCTCAAGGTGGGTGGCGCATTTACGTTGTGGATGTCTATGGGCTCCGGTAACCAGTTAACACCAGGTGGGCTGTGAGCTCGGCCACCCATCTAAGCAATAAAAAAAAATGTACTCCACGGGGGCTATAATGCTTACGTGGTGATTTTGCATACCCTCACTCTTGTTATCCCACGATATCCCGATATTGCGACCCTCAGATTACCGGAGGAGCCCAGCGACGAGGAACGCGACATGCTGGACCTGGCATACGGCCTAACGGATACGTCGCGGCTCGGTTGCCAGATCACTCTGACCAAGGACCTGGACGGGCTGGAGATCATAGTACCAGAGACTATCAACGACGCGAGAAGCTGATGTTCTGTCTAGATTTATCGTTATGAAATAAAGTAGGCGGCATCCGACTGTATAATTAATTAGTATTATGTGAAGATATCCATAATGTCGATTCATATGAAAATCGATTTTAATTCATTCGACAATGATGTTGGGATAAATAAGTAATAATATTGACGCCATTTTGTTGACAGCTAAGTTTTTTTGTTGGATTGAGTTGGGCAGTAACCCTAAAGCCGAAATCAATGGGAATACATTAGAATAATAATAAACGAATTCAGTCAAAAGTCTTTTAAACATTTTTGCGGTTCAACCTCAGCTTTAAATATTTATTTTAGTTTTCGAAATGTTAACGAGAATGACTCCGATTTGATTTTTTGGATCGCTGTTCCGTTTTAGTGCTTTTTTATTCGCGCGCCAATGGTCTAGATCCAGAGATAAATGTAACAATGATATAATGTAACGACACCAAAAATCGACATGGGTATTTTTGCAATGATTTTTGAGTCGCTTCCCTATCACCAAAGAAATAGGAACTTTTTTTTGTATCGATTTAACTTGCTGTCATTTTTGATTATATCGATATGTTATACAATTAGGTAATATATTAAAATAGTAATATGTACGTTTTTCATTAATGTACAAAAAAAAAACAACATAATTGCAACACCAGTAAGTAATTAAATACCAGAAAATTATCTTCATTAATTTATCTTTATTCGAATTTAATCACATTTTGATGATTCATTTAATTATTTAAAAATGAACTGTTAATGTGTTATTTAATTATAACATAATAATAAAAAATATTAGTAAGAACTCGAATTGGGTTGCATCCGGATACAATTATTTTTTTCTACATAAAGGCAAAGGGGTGAATATCCATTATTCCAACATTTCGAATTGTAATTAATCCTGACGTATTAAAGACATACATGCAACTATTTTAAAAATAAAATTACTTAAAATGGAGCAGGAAGCATACATTGTATATACGTATCAACTCGCTTGGTAAATGTAGTGTAATTGCCAAAAACCTAGATAATTTAATTTAAAAAAAAAGTATATATGAGAGGAAGCCACAGGAAAATGACAAAAGTATCCAAACGCGAAACCGTATAAAAACTATTTCCGTAAAATGTAGATTATAAATTAATTAAATGTTTTTTTGTCTGTACATAAGAAGCGGATTTTAAAATGTATGTGGGTGCATAGTTGTTTTTTTTTAATAGCTATAGTATAATGTAACGGGACATGGTGTTTGTTTTATAATTTTAATGTGATTAATGTTAGATTACAGAGAGAGTGTTAGATTAGAATATCAATGATACTTATACTACCTATAAAAATGAAAGAAGGAGTAAAATTGTAGTTGAACATTTTATAACACTGGCAATACAGAAATGTAAATTTTTCAAAATGGCGTTTAGACAACTTCGAGTTTGATTATGAAAGGAAATTTTACGAAATAATTTGATTAAAAAACAAGAATACCAATCTTGTCTTTGATAATACCAACGACTTCTTCCACTAATTTAGGTTAAGGAGTAAAACAAATTTGAATGATAAAATTGACATTTGCCTTTTAAAAAAAAACATTCTTATTTCCCATTTTTTATTGGTAACACCAACTCGTCAAAGACAAAAAAAAGTCAGTTGTCAAACAGAGAAGACGGTATCACATAATTACTTTATGTTTGCTCAATTAAATATATTTGTCAAAACAAACAAAAAATAGTTAATTGGCGATACAGTAAAAGCCCTTTATTCGTGACGCTTGCAAGGCAAAAGGGACTAAGCGACAATAACTGCTTTGTACATAAATGATAGGCAATAACCATATTCGATGCGCAAAAAATATATATTTCTAGGTCTATTAAAATCATTTCAATCCTACAGCCACTAGCTAGATTCTACTACAGCTGGATTCATTAAAATAAATTTTGTTTTCGGGTATTTCAACTTTAAATTAGTCTACTGTAAAGTTCACGCATTGTCGCTTAGTCACGTTTGCCTTTCAAGCGTCGATATGTATGTTCCGTAAAAAAATTTATGAATAAAGAAACATGTGATAACATAATGGTAATTTACATAAATGGATTATAGGGGATAAGTTTCTAAGTGACAAAATAAAAACATACTTAAACGTAGTTGTAATAAGGTCTATTTTAGTTTATTATTAGTCCGTTTGACGACGCGTTCACAAATGATATTAGGTTGGATACCTAAATACATATTGGAATCTTTTTTAACAGTAGGCATGTACCGATTAGCTCTGTGAATAAAGAAATCTTAAGCCGCGAATATAGGAATTGGGACGCTTTTGTTTAATACGCGAATAGTGAAAACGTGTAAGAAGGAAGCGCGAATAAGGAGCTTTTACTGTACTTAGTATTTTTCAATAAGACGAAAATATTTTTGTATAGTATCTAAATGATCCAGTGCAATAATGTTAGATTTCCTCTCGTTGAAGTAGCAAGGGCAAGTTTTTTTTTTCGATAGGCGGCTGTGCGTTTTACGTAGCTGGCAACCCAAGGATTGGTGTTGCCATTGCATTGGTATTTTACTCGAACGATAACATGTCAAATAAATGTATATTTAAGATGATTTGTTGGTTATAATATTGTTGAGAAATATATTTATATTTGATATTTCGTAATTTTAATAATAAACAGTTGATAGAAAATTTGTTGTTTGTTTTTTTGTTGTCTCCGGTGTATCCGTCACGTGTCTCAGCCGATTTAATAACGCCTTTTTGGTTCTATCATTATTAGTCTTGTCTTATATCTGGTTGCAATTTAGTCTGCTTGCGAATCTTTTCAATCTACTAATATAAATATACCCTATCTAACATCTGGGATTGTCTTATCGTGCAAATTAAAAATCTTTTTATTTTATGACTTGGTAACAGAGACCTTTAGGTCACACATTGAAATCCAAGTCAACAAACTGCCAGACGTCAAGACACTTACTTGACTCTGCGTGAAATGAAACATAAAAATCTAGATGTAAATTTTGTATTAAAAAAATAGAGGGTAATTAGCATAATATTTATAATAATATGTTGAGATTTTTTGGAAGGAACGCGAGGGGTGGAGTTGTGTGATTTATTTTATTTCGTGAATTTAGTATTTCTTCAGGTTTAAATATGTAATAACGGTGGTTTATTAACTGTTTAATATCTATGAAAGTGTACAAATGTGGAAAAATGAAACAAAACCGCTGGACGTATGTTTTCGGGATCATCCAAAAAGTCCACTGAAGAAATCTCAGTAAAAGACCACCATTTTACATCCCATATCAGCTCATCCCATAAGAATATAATAAATTAAAATAAGACTTGACCTAAAAGTCTTGGTTACCAGGTCATAGAATCCCTTAAAAAAAAATTATAATATTATGTTGAATATATGGAGGATAGAAGTAAGGACCACCATCGCAATGCATTAAAAAGAGTCCTCTAAAAGGGACTTAAGGTGACGCCACAGTAGCAAGTGGAAAGATTTTAATAAAAGCACCATAAAATACCCGCCTCACTTCAATCCAGTACACTTAATCCTGTTGAAAACTGCGATATTCATATCATTTCCACTTCCTACACTAGCGCTGTTTCGGTGAGCCTTCCAACAATAATTTCCTGTTTACAGCCGGACATTTTTTCAACTTGTCCCCTATACAACATGGCGCCTCTTACTTCTACCCTCCATAGTTGAGAAATAAAGTCGTGGCAATAATAAAAAATAAAATACAAACCAGTAAAAAAAAAATTAGCCTAACTCTTTATAGTTTTGTTGCATAGATGGGTGGATGAGCTACAGCACACCTGATGTTAAGTGGTTACCGGAGCCCATTCACATCTACAACGTAAATGCCGCCACCCACCTTGAGATATGAGTTCTGAGGTCTCAGTATAGTTACAACGGCTGCCCCACCCTTCAAACCCTTTGTTAACTATAAAGTCGATTTACAGACGATAGGTTTACGTGATAACGTCAGTAGCGGAACTATTCTAACTGCTAGCTCTGACGTCACGCGAGAAGAGAGTTAAATGTGTCACAAGCCAACGCTTAGGCCGATCGTGCTTCTCTATCGCTTGTTCTCGTTTGCACGCTCAGGCTCGGGCGGAACGTGACACTTTTTCGTGCGTGGTGTTATTGTTACGCTAGTAAGAGTAACGCCATCTATCGCTGAATACTCGAACGAATATCGAAGGATCTAGTAGCATCTAGAACGCTGCTCTACGATGGGCTCCATTACCCACTTAACACCAGATAGGCTGTGAGCTCGTCCACCCATCTAAGCAATAAAAAAAAACAGTTTTGTTTGTTTATCGTGACAACATTGAAACATCCAATAGTCATTCGATTTTCCGGTCATGAATTCGAAAATAGATTTACGGGCGATTGCCTACCTGCTTTTTTTTAATGCATTTTTTGTACGCCGATAAAAACCAAAAGAATGAATTCCGATAATGTCGTATCGAATTAATTGGGAATCAATCACAATGCTATTATTACGGTTGAGTTCTATGTCGGTTCTGCTACTTCAGACAGGTAGGATATCGTGGTGACATGAATTGTAGTCAGTGTGCTTAGTGCGATTTTTTTAACGTTCTCGATAGCGTAAAAGTTAACTCGAATATTACTGGTGGTAGGACCTCTTGTGAGTCCGCGCTGGTAGGTACCACCACCCCGCCTATTTCTGCCGTGAAACAGTAATGCGTTTCGGTTTGAAGGATGGGGCAGCCGTTGTAACTATACTGAGATCTTAGGACTTATATCTCAAGATGGGTGGCGCATTTATGTTGTAGATGTCTATGGGCTCCAGTAACCACTTAACACCAGGTAGCCTATGAGCTCGTCCACCTATCTAAGCAATAAAAAAGGAGCCTAGAGCTGACGCATCCGTCCTGGCGAAACGACTATGACCAGACGATTATTTCGGCCCAAAAAAAGTACCTACATTCATTAATTTTACAGTGTTACCTGCGCACGGAAAGTTGAAGCTACCACCGCAGAGCCATCACAAGGCTGCACGTTCCAAAACCATTCAGTCGTTCAATCAACCTTTACTTCAAACTAAAATCGGAAGCCACAGTGTCGACGATTTAGAAAACTCCAACCTAAGAAAGTTCGCTAAGAACTATCCTATCTACATAATCGATAAGAATCCAACACCGGTGTTACCAGCGGAAAACTTCGATCCTTTCTTGCCAGACGAAAAATACGTTGAAAATGGTAGAATTCGTTCTACGAAAGCAAACACTGCATTTAAGATTTTCAACGAATCTAAATTGAAGAAACTGCGAATGTCGTTTAGAAGGAACGATGATTTCAAATTAAATTATAGATTCTCCGATTTAGTACTGTAAAGTATATGTCATTTCTGTACTGTCACTCTTCGTTGCTTATAAGTTTTTATTTATTTATTTTTTATTAGCCTTTATTGCTGATACTAAACAATGATTTTACATACAGTAGCAAATTGTTTCAACTTAAATCTAATACATCACCGGGTTTCCCGGTTCAGTGATCAGCGTGTCCTGTGACCTGTGACCATAGGCCTCTTCCGGCTGGTTCCATTCTTCTCTATTGGTAGCTTTTCTGGACCAGATTGCCCCTCCAATCATCTTGATATCATCTGTCCATCTTATAGCTTGCCTACCTCTTTTAATACTCTTTTATTAGCTTCACACGTATGTATGTTAATATGTAACGGAATCTTTGAACATGATTTTGAGCCCTTTCGAAACGTCGGATTAACTCGAAATTTGGTATACTTATTAAGGACCGATGACAATCTAATATTTAAAAAAAAAGCTGAAAAAAAATAATTGAAAAAATTAAAATTTAACTAAAAAATGAAAAATAAATAATAGTTTAAAAAAACTAAAATAACAAAGTACGCTTTTATAGAAAATCCAACTAAAAAATGGAAAATAAATTTGAATTAAAAATAGTGTCAGAAAAAATTATTTTGTTGTATAAAAAAGCGTGAGGTGCATGGTATCAGTAGTTATAAATATTGTATGAACAGATATGAGTAGAAGGGTTATTTTGATAATATCCTGAAAAGCACCCCACGCTTTTTTTACTTGTCTACTTATACTATATTCTTTTCTTTTGCCATCATGTGGCTGCCATTCATATTAAGTTTAAGATTGCCCAAAAGAAGATTGCAATGGTTTCAGACTTCGCGTTTATATGCGAGTTTCGTTATTCTACCATTATTTTTAAACTTCTGAACCGACTTGAATATTTGAGGAAAACGTCAAAGGGAAGATCACTGAATTAATTATATCGCATTTCTGTTACTAAGGTGCTGGAATATCTAGTAGCCTCTGGAAGAGATCCGAACGACATTGAGAACAAACCTATTTCTAAGAGACCTAAATGACTGAGACATACATTAACAAACAAAAAAAGCAAAGAGTTAGTCAATCCAGGCGCCTTAGTTACATAAATCAACGTTATTACTTCAGTGCACCGCTGACCTACACCGCAGTCAAAGGATTAAGAGTCTAAAACTAAAAACCATATGATTTTTTTTTGCTTAGATGGGAGGACGAGGTCACAGCCCACCTGGTGTTAAGTGGTTACTGGAGTCCACAGACATCTAAAACGTAAATGCGCCACCCACCTTGAGACATGAGTTCTAAGGTCTTAGTATAGTTACAACGGCTGCCCCGTCCTTCGAACCGAGGCAATCCAGGCGCCTTAGTATATTTAGGATTTTTATTAGCTAGTGTCGACAGACATGCGTGGTACCAGACAAACCACCCACACTGAGAAATTTTCGGACGTTTGAAGCGGCTTCGTCATAACGCTTTAAAGTCGTCGTGGCCTAATAAGACTATTAGTCTTATTAGGCCACGACGTCTATTAGTCTATT